TCGAGTACATCACAGGTAGCTTGCCAGGCTCTGCCACGCAGGTGAGATACTCTCAGTAGCTTGCCGGGCTCTCTGAGAGGGGCGGAGGAATCGAACACGAGTCGGCCATGTTGGCTGCATGCAAGGCAAACGCCCTACAGCTGTGCCATTAGCTAGCTCTAAAGTTAAACAGAATAGAATTTTTAAAATATCTTTAAATCTTAAAATAATCTAATCAGGGATGCAACACACTGTATGTTTTGCTCAGTGAAGGAGACCCAGTCAGAAAAAACCTGCGACACAAAACCAGAGTAGCCCACAAGCAGCTGCAAAGTATGGCCCAAAAATCAAAACAAAACAAAAATCTCATGACTGACTAGTTCTTTTAAAGTTCATACTGTTCATTCAAGACAGTACTGAAGTGGGGCTGGAGTGACAGCACAGCGGGTAGGGCGTTTGCCTTGCACGCAGCTGACCCGGGTTCAATTCTCAGCATCCCTGAGCACTGCCAGGAGTGATTCCTGAGCACAAAGCCAGGAGTAACCCCTAAGCATCACCAGGTGTGACCCAAAAGCAAAAATAAAAAAAAGACGGCATTGAAGAACCAGAGAGAGAGTACAGAGGTTAAGGTATTTGCCTTACATGCAGCCAACCCCTATTCAATCCTTAGCAACACATATGCATTCCTAAGCATAATCTAGAAGTGATCCCTGAGTACAATGAGGTATGGCCTGAGCCCCCAACCCCTGAAAAAGACAGTATCAAACACAGCAAATACCTCTATGATAAGAGGTCTATATCATGTGCATTATAATTCAAGAATAAAAATAAAATTAACTCAATAAAAATGGGTTCCATGGGCTCATGGTCAGCTCTGTCTCATTATTAGAGCCCAGAGCTGTGTCACTGCCAACACTGTCACTCTTTTGTCTATCTCTACAGATTCTGATGCACGACATTGGTTGCAGCTAAGTCCTACTGATGCTTCAAACTTAACAGATAGCAACGAATGCCTTGTGGATGACTGCAGAATAATTGCTGGAGGGAACCTCACTGGCTGGCACCCAGACTCTGCTACTGTGTTATGGAGACGGATCTTGGGGATCCTTGGAGATGTGAATAATATCCAGTCACCGAAGATCCATGCCAAAGTTTTTGGCTATCTCTATGAACTCTGGTATAAACTAGCAAAGATAAGGGATAACCTAGCAAAAGCCTGGATAACCAGTCTTCTCCATCCCCTCCGGTCCTCATTCCACCACTCAGAATGTTTGCATCATGGCTGTTTAAGGCAACTATATTGCCTAATGAATATAAGGAAGGTAAACTACAAGCCTACAGACTTATCTGTGCCATGATGACCAGACGCCAGGATGTGCTGCCAAACTCAGACTTCCTGGTACATTTTTACCTTGTGATGCATCTGGGATTAACCAACGAGGATCAGGGATGGAAGATCTCCAAGCCTACTCGGATTTGGGCCGAGCATCCTCCACCCAGATCCTCCAAATTCCAGTAGGCGGGGGCCACACCCACCAACTGGCCCCCTGGCGCTGTGTAATCCCATCAACGGCCAAGACTCAGAGACTATAAAAACTAGCTCCTGGAACCGCACGGCCGCATTTGCGGCCGCGCGACATTTTATTATAACATCTTATTATCTCATTCCTACTTTGGACAAACTAGCAGGTTACCGAATGTAGCCTGCCCACACGGCAGAGTCTGGCAAACTCCCCGTGGCGTACCCAATATGCTAAATACCAGTAACAATGATGGGTCTCTTTCTCCTAAAGAGCCTTGAATATAATCTCAGGGCTAAGATGAAGGAGACGTTACTGGGGCCTGCTCGAGGCAATCGACGAATAACAGGATGATTTGTGATTTGTGATTTGTGAATAAAAATGGGCACATTAGGCTGTGGTGATAGCACAGCAGGAAGGACACTTGCACCTCATATGGTCCCCATGAACCCTGCAGGAGTGATCCCTGAGCAGAGCCAGAAGTCAACCTTGAGCACCACCAGATATAGACCAAAAAAAAAAAAAAAAGGAAAAAAAGGGCAAAGGTTGTGAACAGACATTTCTTTAAAAAAGAAAACAAAAAAAGGTGTGGGGGGCCAGAACAGTGGACAAAGCACTTAACTTGCACACAGCCAACCCAAATTGAATCTGGCATCTCATATGGTGCCCCAAGCACCGCCAAGAGTGATTCCTGAATGCGGAACCCTTGAGTATCACCGGGTGTTACCCAAAAACAAAAACAAAATTGTGGACCTGGAGAGATAGTACAATGGGTAGGACGCTTGCCTTGCATGCAGGAGACCCAGGTTAGAACCCCAGTATCCCATATGGTCCCCTGAGCCTGCCAGCAATAATTTCTGGGCACAAATAACTGACCATCGCCACATATATACACATATATGTACAGTGATATTGTAAAGTATATGTTTTGCATGTGTGAGGCCTTACATTTGATCCCCAGAACTACCCCCAACATCGATAACAAGTTATAACAAACATTGCCAGGTGTAATTCCTTGTGCATCCCTGACATAGAAACAAGCATTTATGTAGGTATGTACAGGAACAAGTGTGAAACCTGACACTAAAGATAAATACTTCATGGGGATGTGAAGAGCCTGGAAACCTCATACAAACTAGTGAAGATATAAAAAGGTACTGCATTTTGAAAAAAAAGACTGGAAGTTCCTCATAATGTGAAACACAGAGTTACCAAATGACCCAGCAATTCTACTCCTAGGTATATATCCCCCCCAAACCAGAAAATGCATGTCCACATAAACTCTTGTAAGTTCACAGTAATATTATTCACAATAGTTCAAATGTTTAAATATGATAAATATCTATGAACTGATGAATAGATAAACTATGTGGTATATTCATAAACTATGTAGTATAGTCATAGAAGAGAAAAATAATCAGGAAATTTTTTAAAAGAAATGAAAGGCTGGGAATGTGGCTTGATGCATAAGACCCTGGGTTCAGCCCAGAACTACTAAACAAAAATTACTAATACATGCTACATTGTAAATAAACATTGAAAACACTAGGCTACATAAAACACCAGACCCAAAAGACAACATATGATATGATTCCAATTATATGACATTTCCAGAACAGCAAATCCACAGAGACAGAAAGCAGACAAATTAATGGTTGTCGAGGGACAAACAGAACAAAAAAATGAGAAATTTTTATAACTTTTTTTTGTTTTGTTTTGGGGCCACACTCAGGGCTTACTGCAGGTATTGTAGTCAGATCATTCCTGGTAGGGCTTGGGAGACCATACTGGGTGCTAGGGACTGAACCTAGGTTGGCATATGAACAAAAATGTTCTACCCACTGTACTGTATCTTCAGCCCTTTTACAAATGATTTTTAAGGTAATATAAAATGTTCTGAAATTAACAGTGGGGGCAGGAGAAACAGTACAGCAGGTAGGGTGCTTGCTTTGCCAGCACCCAACCCAGGTTTCATCCCCACCATGCTATATGGCCCCCATGTTCTGCCAGAAGTAATTCCTGAGTGCAGAACTGGCAGTGCCAGGAGTAACCTCTGAGCAGCTTCAGGTGTGGCCCAAAAACCAAATAAATAAATAAATAATTAAATAGAGATGGTTGTACAAAACCACTTAATTGTTAAGTATTAAGAGGGTGAACTGTATTGCATATAAGTTATACATTAATAAAGCTTCTATTTAAAAATAGACCCTTAGGGCTGGAGCAATAGCACAGCGGGTAGGGCGTCTGCCTTGCACACGGCCGACCCGGGTTCGATTCCCAGCATCCCATATGGTCCCCTGAGCACGGCCAGGAGTGATTCCTAAGTGCAGAGCCAAGAGTAACCCCTGTGCATCGCTGGGTGTGACCCAAAAAGAAATAAATAAATAAATAAATAAAAATAGAACCTTGGGGCTGGAGTGATAGTACAGTGGGTCGGGCATTTGTCTTGCACACAGCAGACCCGGGTTGATTCCCAGCATCCCATATAGTCCCCCTAGCACCGCCAGGAGTAATTCCTAAATGCAAAGCCAGGAGTAACCCCTGGGCATCGCCGGGTGTTACCCAAAAACAAAAAAAAATAATAATTAAAAAAATAAAATAGCCCCTTGGGCTGGAGCAATAGCACAGCGGGTAGGCATTTGCCTTGCACGCAGATGACCCAGGTTCGATTCTCAGCATCCCATATGGTCCCCCGGAGCACCGCAACAGAAGTAACCCCTGTGCAACACCAGGTGTGACCCAAAAAGCACAAATAAATAAATAAAAATAGTCCCTTTCAAGAAGCTATATAATCCAGTAAGTAAAGCAAATGCACAAGGCCCAGGTTCTATCCCTGGCATCCCATATAGTCATCAAGCACTGCCAGGAGTAATTGCTGATTGCAAAGTCAGGAATAACCCCTGATCATCCTGGGGTATGGCCAAAAAACAACTGTGGGTACAATAAATGTTATTTTGTTAAGAGAGAAAGTTTCAAGTTTAAAGAGTTAAAGTTATTTTTATGTTATACAGAATCAGTTGTAATTTATTTAAATTCTTTAGTGCTTTTAAGAATACTTGATCAGGGGCTGGAGCAATAGCACAGTGGGTAGGGCTTTTGCCTTGTATGCGGCCAACCCTGGTTCGATTCCCAGCATCCCCATATGGTCCCCTGAGCACCGCCAGGGGTAGTTCCTGGGTGTATGAGCCAGGAGTGACCCCTGTGCATCACCGGGTGTGACCCAAAGGAAGAAAAAAGAAAAAAAAAGAATACATGCTCATCTGATATAAAATAATAGCTCAGTCTTTATGCCACAAGGAAAGAATGTCTCAATTCAAATTTGAATTTCAAATTTTCCTTTATTTAGGTAAACCAAAGCGGTAAAATTAAAAAATCCCAATGCAAGACCAAACTCAACAATTGTTATGAGTCCAAATATCCTAGTTTATCAGTCTGCAGATGGTTTCCACATGCAGCTGTCAGAGCCAGCCACTGCCAGCACATCTGCAGCTAATGTCTCACCTTCATGCACAGCTCCGCCTTGTCAAAGCCCATCAACATGTTGATAATGTCAAACCCAGAGGTAGATTTATTCTTCTGATGGACTCCTCGAATAAGTGCACACAAGGTCTGCAGAAATCAGAGAAAAGTCTTTCTAGAGAAAATGAAGTCTCAAAACAAACCTCACATTGCAAGCTCAGACACTCTCTTTCGAAAATGACATTCATGTGCTGTTACTCTGAGTTCTAACACAGTCTAAATCTTGGGGCTGGAGAGATACTACAGAGGGTAGGGAGTTTACCTTGCATGTGGATGACCCAGGTTCAATTTCCGGCACCCTATATGGTCACAGGAGCCTGCCAGGAGTGATCCCTGAGCATCCCCAGGTATGACCCAGAAATAAATAAAAAAAGGATCACTCCTTTTTAAAGAACCATATAGAATGCCAGGGCTCGAACCCAGTTATGCCACATGCAAGGCAAGAAACCTATGCACTGTTCAATGCGAGGAGGGGCAGGTGACACAGTGACGCTCAGGTCAGGTAAGCAATGCTGGAAGTCAACAGGCTATACCCAGGTAGTACGTGGGGAGAACAGTGATTTTGTTGTTGTTGTTGTTGTTCATTTATTTTGAGTGAAAGGTCCTTTTGAGAATCTGATAAAAGTTATTTCTGGGTTTTTTTTTTTTTTTTTTTGCTTTTTGGGTCACACCCGGCAAAGCACAGGGGTTACTCCTGGTTCTGCATTCAGGAATTACCCCTGGTGGTGCTCAGGGGACCATATAGGATGCTGGGAATCGAACCTGGGTCAGACGCGTGCAAGGCAAACGCCCTACCCACTGTGCTATTGCTCCAGCTCCCAAAAGTTATTTCTTAATGTATATATGGACACTAAATATTTTTCAGAAAGTCAAAGAACACCTCAGATTAAGAATTCCTCAGAGATACACAAAAGAATCTCGGAACCAAGCAGCTCGCTTCAGAGTTGCCTGACTTTAAGCCAGACTGACTTCACTGGGGTGCCTCAGACAGAGAGCAGGCATCATCCCCCCACCTACCCCCTAAGAATCCGGGCAGCCACCAACTTCAAGAACCCAATGAAAAGCACAGGTACGCGGGTTCAGTGATGGCAAACTCCAGGCCTCAAGGGACAGAAGATGGGCCGGTCCTTCTCATCTCCTCATCCCTTTGGGACCCTGGAGGTCACACCCATGAACTGCCTCTGGCTGCTATTTAAGCTCCAGCCATAATTCAGAGACACACAGAAGAATCTCGGAACTGAACAGCTTGCTGCAGAGATTTCTCCAGATCCTAATTATATAAAATTTTAGAATTCCAGGAGCGCATGGTCACTCTTGCAGCCGCACAACATCTTACGCTGTTCATAGCAAGCAATACAGAATAAATTATCTAGCATCTGCCTTTTCGGCAGGTTTAACTGGTGGCAAGAAAATTCAAAATAATGGTGGTGGGACGATGTAATGGTGGTGGGCTGGTGTTGAAATATTGAATGTAATCCATTATTGTGAACAACTTTATGAAAATAAATTTGAAAAGAAAATATTTTTGACTTTAAAAAAGTAAAAGGCCCTCCCGTTGATCGTCGATTTGCTCGAGCGGGCCCAGTAACGTCTCCATTGGGACTTTGTTGTTACTGTGTCTGGCATATCAAATACTCTCGGTAGCTTGCCGGGCTCTCCGAGAGGGGCAGAGGAATCGAACTCGGGTCAGCCATGTTGGCCGCTTGTAAGGCGAACGCCCTACCCACTGTGCTATCGCTCCTGAGAATTTAAACAAGTGGACTCTTACAATTTGGGCTACTGACTTAATAAAGCAAACAGTTAAATAAAAAAAAAGAATTCCTCAATCTAGGGGTTAGAAATATAGCTCAACAGTAGAGCACTTGTCTTATATGTATGATAGTCTGCATTCAAGTCACAGCACTTACAAAAAAAAGGAACTCCAAAGCTAGTGAGGAACTACAGGGGGTAAGGCTCTTGCCCTGCATGTGGCTGACCCCAGGTTCAGTCACCGACACCACATACGGTTCCCTGAACACTACCAGGAGTGTTTAAGTTCAATTTCAAGTGTTCAAGTGCTCTGAGCAAAGAGCCAGGAGCAGTCCCTGAGAACTGTCAGATGTGGCCCAGACCCCAACCCACCCCCCAAAGTAATACTATCTTTTGAACTTCGCTTTAAGTAAACATCCAAACCTTAATTTCCTTTCTTCAAGTAATAAGAATTCTGTCAAACCATTTATATATGTGGACAAACTACAAATGAACAAAATGCTGCCAGAGCAATAGTACAGCAGATAGGGCATTTGCCATGCAGGTGGCCTACGTGGGTTCAATCCCTGGTATTCCATATGGTCCCTGAAGCTAGCAAAAAAAATTAAAAAATAAAAAATAATAAAGACTCTTCCAGGGTTGATGCAAAAGCACAGTGGGTAGGGCGTTTGCCTTACATGCAGCCGACCCGGGTTCAATCCCCAACATCCCATATTGTTCCTCGAGCACCACCAGGAGTAATTCCTGAGTGCATGAGCCAGGAGTAACCCCTGTACATCGCCGTGTGATCCAGAACACCACCAGGTATTAACCAAAAAATAACAAAATGGCTAATATAGGAATTCATTTGTTTAACAAGGAAGATAGCTAAGCAAACAAAATTTACTTAAATGACGAAGACAGAAAACCCAACACCAAAGGGCAACTTTATTGAGATTTCTCAGGTTCCAACAGGTGTGTTTCAATTCTTTTTCCTATTAAGACTTTCCCAAGGGGCTGGAGCAATAGCAGTGGGCAGGGTGTTTGCCTTGCACGCGGCTGACCCGGGTTCAATTCCCAGCATCCCATATGGTCCCCTGAGCACTACCAGGAGTAATTCCTGAGTGCAGAGCCAGGAGTAACCCCTGTGCATCTCCGGGTGTGATCCAAAAAGCAAAAAAATTTAAAAAAATAAAAAATAATAAACACTCTTCCAGTGCTGGAGCGATAGCACAGTGGGTAGGGTGTTTGCCTTGCACACAGCCGACCCAGGTTTAATCCCCAGCATTCCATATTGTTCCCCAAGCACCGCCAGGAGTAATTCCTGAGTGCATGAGCCAGGAGTAACCCCTGTGCATCACCGTGTGACCCAAAGAGCAAAAAAAAAGACTTTTCCAGTCTCCCAGCCATGTACCTGTAAAGCATTGACAACTCGAATCGGATGCTCTTCTCCCAAAGCCTGGATGCAGCGTTGAAACAAGCAATTAATATTGTCCTTGATCTTCATTAACTCCTCACCATCAAGAGATTCCAGCTTGCCTTCCAGGTACTCTAAATTCACCTACAAGGAAAAAACAAAAGCCTCAGTATATTTTTAGCATAGCACCCAGAACTCATGAGAGATGTAATCTAAGTTAACAAGACAATACACAGATGTCATCAAGTCTTACCTTCATGAGGAAGAGTTCCTCCCAAAATCGAGGAGTGCACTTACTGGGGTCCTCCGCCTGAAACCAGAAGACAAGCAAATTCAACATCCCCAAGAGTGATTCCTGAGTGCAGAGCCAGAAGTAACCCCTGGGCATTGCTGGTTGTAACCCAAAAAGCAAAAAATAAACAAGCATTTAACTATTTCTACAGCACTTCAATACGCCAATATGGATTGCATCCTCTGTATAAAGATTTTTTTTTTTTTTTTCAGTTTTTGGGCCACAACCAGCAGTGGTCAGGGCTTTCTCCCGGCTCTAAGCTCAGGCATCACTCCTTGCAGGCTTGGTGGACCACATTGGGTGCCAGAATGGAACCCAAGTTAACTGTGTACAAGTCACTATACCTATCCACTATACTACTGCTCTAGTCCCATCCTCTATGTAAGGATTTTAATATACTTTTTTCCTAATTCAACTAGGTCCAAAAGGTTGACAAAATATAGTTCTAAAATCTATAATTTCTTAGCAAAAATTTTCACACAGAAATTCTGCAGATTTCTAATTGATAAGCAAAATAAGTAAAATAACTACTTCAAAGCAAATTCAATAAATTGTTTTATTATTATCTTAACCTTAAGTTGATCTTTTCAAATTACTACCAAGTATCTTCATTAGATAAGAATTGATAGAGGTGGGCTGGAGAGATAGCACAGCGAGTAGGGCATTTGCCTTGCACGTGGCCGACCTGGGTTCGATTCCCAGCATCCCATATGGTCCCCTGAGCACCACCAGGAGTAACTCCTGAGTGCAGAGCCAGGAGTAACCCTTGTGCATCACCAGGTGTGACCCAAAAAGCAAAAAAAAAAAAAAAAAAGAATTAATATAGGGGGTTTTGAGGGGAAGGAGGGGGCCAGAGAGACAGTACAGCAGGAAGGGCACTTCCCTTGCATGCAGCTGATCCAAAAATAAAAAATAAAATGTAAAATTAAAATTGATTGCCAGAAAAATAGTACTGGAAGTAAGACAAATTTGCCTTGCAAGTTGCCCACTCTGGTTCAATTCCCCCCCACCACATATGGTTCCCTAAGCACCATCAAGGGTCACTACTGAGCAGAGCCAGAAACGGCACCTAAACACACCAAAGTGTGACCAAAAAAAAAAAAATTAGTAAATTATCTAAACAATTAGAGTTCTAGGGCCAAATGTAACTGAAGCAACTTAGAAAGTACTTAGTTCAGATCATAAGGAAGACAAGTCCTGGGGCTGGAGACAGTTCAGCAGGTAAGGTACACAAAGTGGACCCCAGGTACAATCCCTGGCATGCATGCAGTTCCCTGAGCCCCACCAGGAGAGATCCCTGAGTGCAGAGCCAGAAATAAGCCCTGATCAGAGTCAGGTTTGGCCCAAATCCCACTCCACACCACCCCCCCAAAAAAGACAGGGCTTTTTTCCCATTTTATTTAAACACCAAGGTTTACAAAGTTTTTTATGATGATTTGTTACAAGAATTCAATATTCCAACACCAATCCCACCACCACTGCCACCTTCCCTCCACCACTGTCTCCAATTTCCCAACCACACTTCAAGCCTACCCCCATAGTAGACCCACAATAATTTATTTCATATTGCTTTTTACTACTAAATGGCTAATGGAACAATCAAAAATTACTTCAGTAAAAGAAAATTTGTGAAAACTTATATTTCACCGTGGGGACATTAAGTCCTTTTCTGAGGTTTTACTGAGTTGTTGCTACAAGTTGAGCCTTCTGTGTTAATGTCTTGTTAGCTGAGATTAGTTGGCTTCTAGCTACATTCCCATCCAATCTGGTGTGCTCCTACTGGGATGTTAGGATCATAAAGTTTGGAAGTGTCATGAGGTTGCAAATGTAGCAACTGTAGCACTGTAGCACTGTCCTCCCTTGTTCATCGAGAGGGCCCAGTAACTCTCCACTGTGAGACTTGTTACTGTGTTTGGCACATTGAATACTTCAGGGGTAGCTTTCCAGGCTTTGTCATGTGGGCAAGATACTCTCGGTAGCTTGCCAAGCTCTCCAAGAGGGGCAGAGGAATCGAACTTGGGTCTGCCAGGTCTGCCGCATGCAAGGCAAACGCCCTACCGCTGTAGCCACACACTCAATTGTTTTACTAAGCTCATGACAATAATCATAAGGACAAATAACAATCTATATGATATATATGAAGAATTTTTTTTGCTTTTTTTAGGGGGGTATTGGGGGCTTTACTCACACATGGGAGTGTTCAAGGATTACCCTGGCTCTGTGCTCAGGGGTCACTGGATGTGCTCAGGGGACCATGTGGTGCCAGGGAGAGAACCAGAGTTGTGCAAGCCAGGCAAGTACCTTAACCCCTATACTATCTTTCCAGTCCACAACATAGTATTTTCTCCCACTTCCCCCTCACTCCCTTATCTTCTCCCTCTGAAGAACTAAAAGGGGGCAGATAAAGTTGACCTTATTTCTCACTTTGCAACAATAAACTAAGTCAGGGTGTACAGCAAGTCAGGGTTTCAGGCCTTACCATGAAGATTTCATCATACATCAACACGACTTTTTCCTTCAATGGTTTTTTGGATGCTGAAGATTTCCGGAGCAAACCCCCTCGTTTCTCTACCTGTGACATGGTTAGAGAATCTGTGAAGAAAAAATAAGTCAGTGCTAGAAATGCTAGAGTGCCTCCACACTAAAATACCTATCAATAGAAAACTTTTAGGGAGAAGTAATGATAAATAGCTAGCATCCTGCATATCTGTCCAACACCACATCCCCTGAAGAGGTAATGTCACGGTTTAAATCATTACTTCGCCTACAGCACAACACATCTGACATCCTTAAAACATGCCAGTAGATGAGGCATAAAGAAGATCCAAAACCAAGCAGAAAAGTATAACTAGCCCCATCTATAATAGGCCTGGTCATATATTTGAGGTTGATGGAAAGTAGACTGCAAAGCACACACAACCCACAGTCTCATGGTAAAGTTAAATTTCAAGTATTGATCGAGCTTGGGACCATTAAGGCAGGAAGTGTGCTGCAGACTGATGTGCTCTATTGATTTCCCCAAAGTAAGTAGGGTCCTCATCATTGCAAAGTACTTGGCCTTCACTGCCTCATAAATCACACTGCACTTGACTGTCTTCAGAAATTCCTCTTAGAAAGAGACCCAAGGCAGAAAATAATAGTTATGAAAGTCAGAAATTAAATCTGATTTCAAAAGTAACTAAATATATCAACTTACTCCTTTTGAATTGAATTATATGTAATACAATTGCTGATCAAATTTCAACATATTTTTTAATTCTATATAAAAACAGTTCTATGAATCATGCCCATATTTTCCCATCTTGCTTCAAGGAAATTTCTATTTTATTTTTCAACAGGAACTTGAAATACCACAAGTCTCACCTATGAACATACACATATACCTCACATCTCAGAATCTGTTATTGACAAATTTTTTTTTTTGTTTTGAGGCCACATATAGAGTTCAGGGGAACTACTCCTGGCTCTGTACTTGAGGACTGTTCCAAGTGGAAGGGACTATGCAGTTTTGGGTACCAAACCCAGGCCTCCTTAGTTCAAAGCATGTGCCCAGGGTTCATTCCACTAAGCTCTCTCTAGCACTTGACAACATTTTTTATTTAAATCCTATGTCTCTAGAGGCTAGGGAGATAGTCCAAAGAGTTGAGGTGCATGTATAACATGTGGGAGGCCCAGGATCAAACCCTGGCACAGCTAGGAGAGATTCCTGGGAGCAGCCCCCAGCACAGCAGGTGGGGCCATTTAGTGACTGATACTCAAGGGCTGCTGACTCTGCCTGGGGGTTGCCCCTGGTAGTGCTCTGGCCTTTGTGGTGCTGGAGACTAAACATGGCAGGCAAGTGTTTTAAGCCCTGTCCTCTCTCTCCAGGCCAGACCCCTTTTGTGGCCTCACTAAGTTCTCAAATTCCACTATGGTCCAGAGAAAACTGAAGGCAAAATTAGCAACCACAAAAAGACAAGATTCTTTTAGCCAATTTATACTATATTGATCATGGCTTTGCCTTAGAGCATGAAATACGCCCTCTGTTCAAAACATTGCTGTGTCTTTTAAATAGGCTGTCAAGAATAAGATGTCCTTATCGAGATAAAATAAATTGGAAATCAAGAAGACCCTATTAAAATAAATCAAAAGCAATGCAATTCTAAACTTAGTGGATATAGATCTCCTGTGTACTCAACTTCAACCAGTTGATTAGGAGGAATTGCGGGAATCACAATTCCTAGATGTGAAAAGCTCATGTTTACAAACATCCCCCCAAGAGAATTTATAATTGGATTACAGCTAATCAATGTCCACCCCAAATCTAATACATTCACTTTCTCTATTTCAGAATCAATATTCTCTGATAAGAAATAGGAAAAGAAAGAAAAACAATTCTAATCCAAAGCACCAAATTTCCTAAGAAATTAAATTCTTTTCATCACGCTTCCTTCTATCTGAAGCAGGGTCAAAATACCAAGGGTCTCAGCTCATTACTCTCTGTCATTATCTTAGGTGACTGGAATTTACCACCCAAGCAGAAATGTGACTGGCTCTGACATCACTATGCCTCTTCCTGCCATGAAACATAGCTAAGAAGAGCATTTCTAGGATGATGGAGTAGAAAATAGAAAACTCTTAGAGAAGCTGTTTTGTTTTGTTTTGTTTTGATGGGGGAGATCTCAGAAATTAAGTCCATACTCCTAAATTTGATAGAAAAAGATCTGAATCATAAAGGAGTAAACTGCCTAACATCATTAAAAGAGAGCAATCTGTTTACAGATCCCAGAGATTTTTTTTTTCTCTTCTACAATCCTCATCTACTGTAGAGTGCGGTGTTCTCCAACCTTTGTAGACCTACAGGTCAGAGAAAATAAGAAAAATAATTCACAGGCCAGCTAACACTGTCACTGCCACTATCCTCCCGTTGTTCATCAATTTGCTCGAGCGGGCACCAGTAATGTCTCCATTGGGAGAGTTGTTGTTACTGTTTTTGGCATACTGAATTACTCATGCATAGCTTGCCAGGCTTTATCGCTCGGGCAGAATACTCTCGGTAGCTTGCTGAGCCCTCCAAGAGAGGCGGAGGAGTCGAATCCGGGTCGGCCGCGTACAAGGCAACAAGCCCTACCTGCTATGCTATCACTCCGGCCCAACGCAAGTAGTATTTTTTTTTTTTTAAATTTTATTTATTTTGCTTTTTGGGTGACACCTGGCGATGCACAGGGGTTCCTCCTGGCTCTGCACTCAGGAATGACTCCTGGCGGTGCTCAGGGGACCATATGGGATGCTGGGAATCGAACCCGGGTCGGCCGCTTGCAAGGCAAACGCCCTACCTGCTGTGCTATTGCTCCAGCCCCGCAAGTAGTATTTTATTAAATTAAATGTTAATTACAATAAAGCTCCTAAATCACATAGCCACTACCTGATTACAGATTGCCACAAAATTTCTACAAAGAGGGGGTTAGACACCCAAAAGGAGAGAGAGAACAAAAGGGAATACCCTGCCACAGAGGCAGGGTGGGAAGGGGGAATGGAGGGCGGGAGGGATACTGGGACCCGAGGTGGTGGAAATTGGGCAGTGGTGGAGAGATGGGTGTTTGATCATTGTACAATTGAAACCCAAGCACAAAAATTTGTAAATCTGCAACTGTACCTCATGGTGTTTCACTAACAAAAATTTTTTAAAAAATGTAAATGATGGAGAATGGGCACTGGTGGAGGGATGGGTACTGGATCATTGTATAACTGAAACCCAAGTACAAAAATTTGTAAGTATACAACTGTACCTCATGGTGTTTCACTAATAAAAATTTAAAAAAAGAGAGAGAGAGGGTTAGAGAGATAGCACAATACCCAACCCAGGTTCAATCCATGGCATCCCATATGATCCCTGAGCACTGCCAAGAGAAATTCCTGAGTGCAGAGCCAGAAGTAACCCCTGAGCATGACCAAAAAAAATTCACACTTTTTTTGGTGTTATCCAAAAAAGAAAAAAAGAAAGAAATTTCAATGGACAACACTGCTCCAGAGACCAAAGGTTGAGAAACAGGGATACAATGAACAAGCACCGGCTGAGTGATGGCAGAACCAAAACTATAGAACACAAGATGACCAGAGAACACTGAGTAAGTCACTGTGTGTAGAATAACACTGTTCTATCCTTCCTGCATAACCTCAGGAATAGTTGATAGTTTATTGGACTGAGGAAAAGATAAAACACCTTAAGAGGTATCTTGCCCTTGAGCAGTCAGGAAGGGCTTTCTTATGTTGATTTGGCTACCTGACTGGGTGGAGTGTCAGCCCAGACTAGAAGGGAGCTGGAGAAGGAGAGAGCGGGGCTGAAAGATGGACTACCGAGAGACTAGCAAGGGGAACATGTGCTTGAGAGAACCTAGGCCCTCCACAACATAAGTTCTTCTATGGGATAAACTTCCTTGTAATAAACTGCCACTAAGATCAACCGGCCTGGCCCTCGTCTCTTCCTTCATCTGCCCTTGGCCAACAGCCGTCCCGATGCAGGCTACACACAGCGGCTCTAGGGCACCGAACGCGGGCGGTGAGATAGAGCCGTCCAGAGAGCCCGCGAACACACAACCTTCTGCGTGCATAGTTTTTTACAACTGTGCATCTCAGTTTTCTTCCAAGTAAAACAAGGGAACCAGACTAGACAAACTACTTGATGATTCTTTCAGTAAAGGCCCTCCCGTTGTTCGTCGATTTGTTCGAGCGGGCCCAGTAATGTCTCCGTTGGAGACTTTGTTGCTACTGTGTCTGGCATATCGAATACGTCACGGGGGGCTTGCCAGGCTCTGCCGTGCGGGCGAGATACTCTCGGTAGCTTGCCAGGCTCTCCAAGAGGGGCGGAGGAATCAAACTTGGGTCGGCCATGTTGGCTGCGTGCAAGGCAAACGCCCTACCACTGTGCTATCGCTCCGAAGAGTAGTTTGCCAAGTTACATGCAAGGCAAACACCCTACCTGCCATACTAGTTCTCCCGTTGGGAGAAAAAAAATTTAAAGATAAAAATTAACTTAAAAATTAATGTCTCCATTATCTAGAAAGAAAATACAGATCAGGCATTTATTCTTTCAATAAATATTTATTGACTGCCTTTTAGGTGTTACACACTAGAGCACTTGGTGGTTTTCAAGTGCTAGCCCATGGACAAATATGGGTCAAAAGGTATAAAAAAAGACTAAAAACCACTGTACTAGAGCAGAACAACTTATTAAATATTTTCGACTTGTGATCCCCTTCAGCTCAAGACATTTTTGTTGGAGCTGATTAGATAGTACCTTACATGTACCCAACCCAGGTTCAATCCCTAAAATCCCATATGGTCTCCAGAGCCCTTCCAAGAATGATACCTAAACAATGTGGAAAGTATCATGCTAAGCGAAATGAGTCAGAAAGAGAGGGATAGACATAGAAAAATTGCATTCATCTGGGGGATATAAAGCAACAAAATATGAGATCAATACCTAAGAATAGCTGAGATCAACACCAGGAGGATTACTCCATAACTTAGAGGCCAGCCGGATATTCTAGGGGAAAGGGCAGTTCAGATAGAGAAGGGAACACCAAATGAAAGGTGTTTGGAGGATCCTCCCA